TAAAAACTTGGAATGGTCTATTCTTTCATTGGGGGTGTGTCTGTAGGCCAGACTAGTTTCAAAGAAGAATTTCACTCCTCATCAGTGACCCTGGACACTACCACTGAATGAAACTTCATACCAAACCAAGCCTTTATAGCAGTGAGGTATTGAAAATTGAAATGGTGTTTTTAAGTGTTTTACACTCACAAAAAAGAAACCTATCATGAAAGAATAGACCATTCCAAGTTTTTACTTGTTGTTAAACAAATGTTTAAAAAACATGTTCAGTTATGTATTAGCTGCCTAGTGTCAGCTAAAAATATGAAGAATTAAATTGTGGCAGAATGCTACAAGTTCTTCCTATAGAATGATAGGTTTGTTTTTGTGAGTGTAAAATACTTAAATACACCATTTCGAATAATCACAATACATACCAGCAAGTATCCTATGAAATTACTTTATGTGCATGTACTTTAACTTAAAATATTCAAACTGAAGAACAGTTATAATAAGTCTTGGTAAATGTCTTTTGACATTACTGAGGAACAAAATATACAAATCTTTAAATTTCCTAAAAATATCTTTAATGTGATGTCCAAAATTAAACCATAATACTAGCTCAAACTTCACTCATTTATAGAAATAATATAATTAATATTTTATTGTTATAAGTTACAATTAATTAAGTTACTTAAATAAAAGGTTTGTCTCACTTACTTTACCACAACTTTGTGATATTCAAGGTTTTTAGGCAGCAATCCCAAATAGTAACGAAGTACATTCTCATAGCGATGCCAAGGAAGGAAAAGGCAAATTGATCCTATGGCTTCAACTGCTGCATCAACAATATGGCTGTGTTTGGAATAGGAAGCATCAAAAAGAAAAGAAGTTGCAATTGGCATCATGAATGACATCAAGGTTAGAGAGTTCATTGTCAGGATGCCCGAGGTTAAATTGCGAGCAAATCTTGTAAGAGCTCTTGAGCGACGATGTAACTGAGGAAAAACCAAAAGTACAGCTGGTACAAGACAACTCTCATGTTTAATAATTTATCAATGGCAAAAAAAACAATCATTAGCTAAATTGTAAAAATAAACTTTGTAATTTTTTCTTTGTTACAGCACAGGAAAAAATTAGTAAATTCTATAATTTTACATCCCTATTAGTTGTTTTGGAAAATGATCATACATTTCAGGGATACCCAGTGTGTTGCTTGTAAGCAATAAGTTTGTTTCACAGGTGGTTTGTGACAGTGAGGCATTTAAAAGAAAACAAAGCTAATTACTGAATGAAATCATACTTCATGCCAAACCAACAGCTTTGTGTAATGCTTTCATGTTGTTTTGTCATGCCTCAAATGGTTTTGCTTATGAAGCACAAGAACAGCCTACAGCTTACTCATGTTTGCTTGTGAGTGAACATCATGGTTTACATCTTGTTTTCAGTTTTGAATGTGGCTCACAGCACAAATAGTTTTTTTTTGCTGCACGTGTAATACTTTGTTTCTCTAACAAATGTAAACTTAAAAATGATTGTTAATGATTAACTAAAAGGTAAAATCCACACACAATCAGCAAGCTAAATAGGTTGAAAAAAAAAGATTAAGACTACATTATCACATTATTACTGATATATCGTGGCCCTTTTGAAACAGAAATTAATATCAAAAAGTCAAAACTGAACACTCATTCCACATTTTCTCTGAAGACAATCAATTCAATTATTCAATGAAATAGCAGACAGTTTTCATGACTGGATCCTGCTACATTAAGTAGCACCTACAGCTGAATTAAAACATGACCTCAAATGAATATAATAAGTTCCAAATTAGAAGATCAGTCAATCTTTTAAACGTTGTAAATATGAGACATGTACTATAGGACAGTGTGGTATATGATATTTGTATATTGCAACTTCATAATTACTATTTCAGAAATCAAAGGAATTTAAATAATGGTATTAGCTATGCATTTCAATCATATGACTGTCCTTTTCTTTGTTAAGGATGATGCCATGAAGCAACAATAAAAAATGGTTTTCGACTCTCTTGCTACAAAGTCATTCGAATTGACTGACCACGTAACCTTTTTTTATACTCATTTTAGTTTCCATACTATAAATTTTAATAAAGTGTATCTTCACAAAATTTGGCAGATTTTAGAAAACATCTTTTGCAAACAAAAAGTTCAATTTTTTTAATGAAGTATTTTTACTAAAGATTTGTCAGTGAAACTATATGGTCTCTTTTTTGACTATTCTGAGTGCAAAGTGATTTCCACATTAACCCTCTCCAGATGGGTCACAGGTCAAATTTTATTGAATTACTATTTTATGGATTTATGTCAAGTTTGGTATCAAATTGTAGATCATAACTCAAATTTTAGTATTATACATTATTTAATTTCTTAATTTAAAAGTAAATATTAAAAAAACACATATAAATATCATGGTATGTTGCATGCAGTACCGGTTCAAATTAGATGTCAAGATATTAAATCTATAGTTTCGTATGAGTTAGGACTAAACTAGTGATATTGACAAGCTAGAATATACAATAAGAACTTATCTTTTCTATTTGCCAAGATATCACTCATGTCCTGAATCAAACACACCTCTTTCCATTTTTGGAAATGGTCCCTTATATATATATATATACTTACTTCCATATATGACATGAATAACCATCAAAAGCTCAGAATGTCACCCTAGTGATTTTTTCAGCCAATTTATTGTGTTATTCTCATTCTTTTCACAGAAGATTTTAAACATTAAGGAAAGTCTTTAGTGAGCTCGAAATTTCATATTTTTTTTAAAACCAAATACAGCTTAGTTATTAAGTTTGGTAAATTATAGTGGAATTCTATGGTATCTATATAGTAATTTATAATTTTTTGGTCATTCAACTGTATGTCAAGATACTAAGTCTGTAATTTCATACAAATTAAGAACTCAAATTACCAATATTGACAAGCTAAAATATAAAATAAGAACCTCATATCTTTCTTTTCTATTTGCTGAGATATCACTCCTGTACTGAATCAAACACAGTGGCCCCACTCACCTCCTTCTATTTTTGGAAACGGTCCTTTATATACACTTACTTCAATATATGACATGTGAATAACCAATCAAAAACTCAGAATGTTCCCATAGTGGCTTTTTCAGCCATTTTAATGTGTTAGGAGTCCATTTCGTTCTTTTGAACCAAGATTTCAAGGAGGTAGGTTGTGTCTTTAGTCTGCTCAAAATTTCGTATTTTTTAGACCCAAATACATCTTAGTTACTAAGCTTGGTAAATTATAGTGGAATTCTATGGTATTTATATAGTAATTTATCATTTTTTGGTTAGTTAAGTGTATTTATAAAACCTAAAAATAATTATCTTGTTTCATGTCCTCCATGTGTGAAATATTAAAAGGCTTAGCAACCTACATCAAGCAGCAACCGAGTACAAAGGTCGTAATTAGAGGAGATAATTGTTTGCTTTACTTCTTTA